GTTGTGTGTTCCATTGGTGCTATGCTGCATGCTGGCTGTCTTGTTCCAAAAGAATGTTCTTAAACCTGCCAATATCCCAGTCAGTCTCCCAAGTGTCTTACCTGTTTTATGTCACTTTTTAACTGCATGATCCCAGCTCGTTCTGTTTTGGTTGCTCCAATAGCACCAGTCTCATGGATAGAAATAGCAGGGCTGACATTTGAATCCATGGGACGAACTATAACATTAAAGATAAAAAGAGGAGATAATTAGGTCTGATTTTCCCCCATCATATTGAACACACCTAGATGTACACCATAATATTTAATTTAATAAAAAACCACCATCACCACCACCACCCCGCCATTGCAACATTGCTATTCGATATGTGATCTATGGAACAGGAGCATCAGCATCACCTGAGAATTTTTTAGTACAATCTCAGGTCCCATGTCAGACCTCGTGAATCACAATCTGCCTTTTAGCAAGATATCCCAGATGATTTTTGTCCACAGTAAGGCTTGAGAAACACTGCACTATAACTTTATTTAACCACTCTAAGGTCTACTGTCCATCAATCGGACATTACATATATTTGCCCTAAGCCTAAACTTTGAGCATAACAGATATCCCTTTTCATTTGCTCTGTTGTTTTAAGTACTAGACACAAAATGTCAGTCTTGATTCCACTATCAAGACTACATGCAGATGGAAGCTTAGTTTGTGACGGATACATCAGGTGTGCTGTAGCAACTACATGTACTCTTAACACTGGAAGCACTACTCAATTATTTCCAATTACAATGCAAGAAAATTTCAGGTTATATAAATCATTAGTCTTAGGGTTTTATGTTCCAATAGCAATGTCCTAAGATAGAGATGGGATAATGTAAGAGATAAAAAAAATCCACTTGGTAATTACATCATTCAAATAAAAAATGACACACACAGTGGTTTTCATATTTTCTTCACACAACTTTGTTTTTTAACTGTTTTATATATTGGGATTCTACAATGAGAAGCCAAAAAGTATTGCTGCTACAGTTCTAATTCATACATGCATGAGTTAATTCCAAACAAAATGTGCTTGAACATGTATCTGTAATCAATGGGTGGCTGCACATAGTTCTCTCAGTATTACACTAGTCTTACTATTCTTATGGTGTCTTCAGAAGAAAAAAAGTAATCATTTATGAGAAACCAAAAGTAATCTATAGCTATAATGCAATCCAAATCCAGATCCCATCATTATTCTCTAAAGCGATGAAAAAAACAATCACCAGCATTAAACAGAAAGAAACCCCAGATAAGCAAAGTACTACTGAAGAAGGATAAAGTAGAAGGACTCACAACCTACTTCACAGCAATGGTAGTCAAAATAGCCTAGTCATGGTACAACAACAGACACATAAACCAGTGGAATAGAATTGAGAACCCTGAAGTAAATCTATCTACTTATGGACCACTATCTTTGACATAAGGAACAAAAAATGGAGACAAGATAGTCCTCTAACATATGCTCCTGGCAAAACTATATTATCCATTCACAGAAAAATAAAACAGGACCCACCATATTAAAAAACAACTGAAGATGCTTCAAAGACAGAAATATCAAAATAAAATTATAAAGATCATTAAAGAAAAAGTAGGGACAAAATTAGTGGTCCTGACATGTGATGATCATACATAATGGAAAACATACAAACAGCATAAGACAAATGAGAGGACTGAAACAGCTTAAAAACTGAACACAATACACAACAAAATATTTCACCCAAAGAATAAAAGGAGAGCCTACAACTGGGAAAAATTATTGGCAATGGTATTATCAGATAAGAGTCTACAAAGGGGTACTAAAAAAAAAAAGGACATTTTTTTACCAGAGCTATGTATTTTTTTTTTACAACACAACCTTTTCACCTTCAAAGTACTCTCCATTACACTTAATACACTTGTCAAATCTGCATTTCCATTCTTGGAAACATTTTTCAAACTCATCTGTTTGGGTGGTCGACAGTGCCTCCTTCAATTTTTTATTTGCTTCTTCTATGTTGTCAATTTGCTGTCCTTTCATGTCTCTCTGCATTCGCAGAAACAAAAAGAAGTCATATGGAGTGAGGTCAGGTGAGTAAGGTGTGTGGGGCAAGAGAGGCATGCTGGTTTTTGCCCCACATTGGCGTACTGAGATGGCTACATGAGCAGGTGCATTGTTGTGGTGGTAACACCAGTCCCCTGTCTGCCACAAATCAGGCCTTTTTTGTCATACATTGTTACACAATCTTTTCAGAACCTCTAAATTGAAAGCTTGGTTAACAGTCTGACCTGGTGGAGTGAAATCCAAATGCACTATCAGATAGATAGATAGATAGATAGATAGATAGATAGATAGATAGATAGATAGATAGATAGATAGATAGATAGATAGATAGATAGATGATCTAGATATAGATATATAAAACAAACAAACAAATGAGCATCATCTTTATCTTTGATTTCACTTGATGAGATTTTGGGGGGTGAGGTGATGATGGCATCTTCCACTGGTTTGATTGATGTTTGCTTTCGGGGTTGTAAGACAGCACCATGTCTCATCATCAGTAATGGCCCTGGAAAAAAGTCTGCGTTGCTTCAGAGCTGTTTTTCAAAACACAGCATGTTTCCACTGGACGCTCTTTTTCCTGGTCAGTCAGAACTCAAGGCACAAATTTTGCAGTGACCCTTCTCATTCCCAAATCTTTTGTTAAAATTCGCTGATCCAAGCTGCAACATAGTCTATATAACTCCCCCATCTCTTCAGTGGTCCATTGTCAGGCTTTGAGCACAACTACATGCATTTTGTCAACATTTTTGTCCATTTGGGAAGTTCATGGATGTCCAGAACGAGGTTTACCATCAATCGACATTTTACCATTTTTGAAATGAGAAAAGCACTCATATACTTGAGTTTTTTCTCATAGCGCTGTCCTTGTAAGCAGTGTTCAACATCACAACAGTTTCTGCGGCATTTTTTCTGAGTATGAAACAAAATTTCACAGTCACATGCCGTTCTCTTAAATTGGCCCTCACAAAAAACAAGGTTCGAGCAAAACTGTTTTTATGAAAAAATTCATTGTGACCAGAGAGAACCTTCCAAGGTGACGCCACTGGGTTCACTAGCTCAGAGCGAGTTGTTGGATGCTTGCCTAGTAGGAAAAATGTGTTCTACGAAAGTTCTGCCCAGCAGACCTTTTACCAGGATTTTTTAAGGAGGGGGGGGTACACCCTCGTATGTTAAGCTGAGTTTTCTAGAGAAATAAAACTATACACACACACAATAACTTTATATACAAAAATAATTTTATAACAAGAAATCAACCCAGCCAGGTCCATTTCGAATTCCTGGAACAGATGTCAGCTGGAGGCCCACAAGACTTACACAAATGCCACCAGATAAGCAGATTTGTGCAACTGCCGCCTGTGAAGCAGGAAGCTAGGAGATCACAGGCCAGTGGATGCAGAGTTGTTAAGCTCCAAGGTTGGCAAAACATGGCAGGGCATCGCAGCTCTCAGGGTCAGCAGGCTGCCTGGATTGCCAACCCAGAGTCAGACACAGAATCCAGGCACGCAGGAACATGAAGAGGGGTGAGAGAAGAAGTTAGAAGTTCTCCATAGTGTTTCTCACAAATAAGGCCACCCCCCCAAGGAGTTGTTATCCGGCTGTGACCTGATTGGTAAGTTGGACTCCACCCTTACCTTCACACAGGTTCATAAAATTAATATAAACTCTAACCATAACAGAGTCTAATCTCAAAAAATTATAGTAATCAACTACAACATCTCAACAACAAACCCATAAATAATCCAAATTGAAAAAAAAGGCAAAGGACATAAACAGACACTTAAACAAAGAAGACAGGTGACACATGACGAAATGCTTATGATGCAAATCAAAATAACAATGAGATATCAGTTCACCACAGTACCAGTAGCAAAGTTACAAATAAAAGCAGAAAACAACAAATGCCGGTGATGGTTTTGAAGCCTGGAAGCCTCATACACTGCTGGTAGCATTGTAAAATGGTGCAACGACTGTGGTAAATAGCCTGGGACGGCCTTAAACAGTTGAAAATAGAAACAGCACATGATCCAACAATCCCACGAGCACAAGTATATCTTAGAGAAACCAGAGCTGTGCCATGAATAGATAGCTGTATATCCATGTTCATCACAGCACATTCACAGTGGCAATAAAGATGGAAACAACCTAAATGCCTATCAAAAGAAGAACGGGTAATCCAACTATGGCACATATATACAATGGAATACTATGCAACCTAAAAGAATAACAATGAATGTGTGAAACAATTAAAGCTGTTCATCTCATAGCATGGATGAACCTGAAGGATATTATGTTGAATGAAATAAGTCATTCACAAAAGAGTAAATACTGCATGAGGCCATTATCATAAAAAAATCAATTCACACACACACACACACACAGTTAATCAAAACAGTGTTTCTGAGGGAATCTGTGGGGCCAGTTAAATACAAGGCAGAGAGGTCAGCTCAGAAGGTTCTGGGGATTCTAATGGGGCAATCTTGGTAGATGTTCTTGAAGGACACAGGACAATCATGAAGACTTGTCATGGAAAGTTTTAAGAAAACTGAAAATTGTATTGGTGAGGAAAAAGGCCAGAAAAACTCTGCCAAGGATTTTTTATCCCCCATCATGACAATGCATCTGCTCATTCTTTAAGGATAGCAAAGGCCCTTCTAGGAGAATTTCATTGGGAATTCTAACTTCATTCACTCTACAGCCCGAATCTTGTCCCTCCAGACGTTTGCTCCCCAAACGGAAAGAATATTTAAAAGGAATATGATTTCAGGACCCCAGGGTTCCCAAAGCTGCCACTTTGATGGATGTAAATGGAGGGTGGTCTACGTCCTCAAGACAGGTTAGAAAGATGAAGACCCTGCCTTCAGAGGTGTATACACTTGAGAAGCCAAAGCTTCATATTTTGATATTTTTGTTTAATAAATTCTTGGTTTCTATGATTCTTTAGTAATAATTTAAAAACTTACTCCTGAGTTTATGTAGAGGTAAGAAGCTCTTCTGATTAAAGGAAACATTTTAAAACTAAGAGACACTTAAAACAAACATCTTGAAATAAAAAATAAAAATGGAGTTATTCCAACTTACTGCTTCGCTCCACGCCAAATTCTTTGCCACTGAGAATGTGATGAAGGAGGCTCTTCATAGCTGAAGGGCTGAGATTCATCAGGCCCTCTGTGGCTTCTTCAGCTAGTCAGCAGAAACATTAGGACAGAGAGATTTCTAATTTGCCTGTTATACTTTCCCTACCTTCCCATTATTCCTTTCTAAGTCTCTTGACCGGAAGAATATACTTTCAAAATCAGTTCTGGAACGATAGTGCTTATGTATTCTGCAATGGATTCTTAATTATTTAAGCACTGATTATATACTTTATGGATGAACCAGATCCTTGATTTATTCTTTATTTTCCTAGACCACCACCACCCCACTCCCCTCCCCACTCCCCACTCTTATGGTACTTAATAGTATCTTCATTTGAAGGCGAGAAGAACAAAAAGGACATGGAATTAGAGGCCACTTGGAGAAAGGCAATGCATGTAAGGGACCACTATATGAAGATCCAAACACCAGCCAAACTTACTGCCATAGAGTCGACGCTGACTCATAGTGGCCTTACAAGGCGGGATAAGACTGTCCCTATGAGCTTCTGAGACTATAAACCGTTAAGGGAGTAGAAAGCCCCACTTTTTTCCCAAGGAAAGACTGGTGGCTTTGAACTGCTGACCTTGAAGTTAGCAGCCCAATGTGTAATCACTCACCACCAGGGCGCCTATAATATGAAGATAGACTAAAATAATTAAACTCCTCCGTGTGTAAATATAAAGACTTAAAAGAGAATAGACATGAATCCATGAAATTACAAAGATTATTTGAGTGGATAACTTGAACTTGCTCATGAACGTTCAACATTTATTAAGAGTTTACTATACGTAGGTCATTATTTTAAAAAATGTTAGCACAAACAGGTATGACGTGGTGCCTGACCTTGAGAATCTGACTGTCAATTTTGGAGAGATGGAACATATAAACAGTAGTAAAACATTGCACATACTAAGTGCCAAATGAGAAGGATAGACAATACAGAATTTGAAAATCAGAGTATGTATCAATATCCAAGGATATGTATTGATAAGATTAGTGGAAAATACTATTGAATGAGCGATAAAGACCAGGCTGAAAATCAGACCGAGAGATATTTACTTTACCATATAAGCAAAAGAGAACCATGGTTTTGATGAATCCATAAACAAAAGGAGACCAAATAGGTAATTAAGAAAAAGTGAAGACTATTTAGGGGTTTATCCCTCATCTTTTGAGATTTATTGTGAACAAGCAGACCCTCTCAGAAAAACATCCCTGGATATCACAGCTAGAGAATACTATAGTACCATAAATGTAGCTGTAACAATGTGGTGAACTAGAACTCATTTGTGATCAGGACTGTATTAAAATTTTATAGTTACTAGCTACATAACTTGGGGCAAATTATTCAACCTGAGTTCAAATATACTTATCTGTAGAAATAGGATAACAATATTTTCACCAGAGGTTGTAAGGATTAAATGAGATAACGTATGTAAATATAAAGCAAAAAGTACAATGCCTGACATATAAACACACAAAAAAATAGCAAACAAACAAATAAAACAGAGCAACAACAACAAAAAGACTGCCATCGAGTCAGTTTCAATTAATAGCAACCATATAAGACAGAGTAGACCTACCCTAGGGTTTCCAAGGCTGTAAATCTTTATAGTAGCAACTTCTCTCACTTTTCTGCCATGGAGCAGCTGGCGGATTCGAACCTATCACCATGAAGGTTCATTGTCTGGCATATACTCACTGCCATGGTGTCAACTCTCATTCATAGTGACACTATAGGACAGATTAGAACTGCCTCGGGTGTCCAAGACTTGACATCTTTATGGGACTAGACAGCCTCATCTTTCTCTCATAGAGTGACTGCTGGTTTTGAACTGTGGACATTGTGATTAGCAACTCAGGGCCTAATCCACGATGCCACCAGGGCTCCTTGTTTGGCATATAGTAGTTATAAAAGAATTGTTAGCTCTCTACCCTAAAAGGGGTATTTACAATGTAAATTCCTGTATGTATTTAATTTTTTAGAGTCCAACCAATATATTTCGCTACTTGTTAATGGCTCAATTGGGGGAAATTTAACTGAAACAATGGCTAAAATTGAGTTTTGCTACTGTGATTTTATTTTTCTATGCCATCTCTATTATTTCATAATTTTTGTTGAAAACAAACAAATGCTTTGTAATTAACCGCATCATGGAAAAGCAAGAGTCATGTACTATGGCCCCTTATTTCCCCCACATTTTATATTCTGCTCTGCAGCATCTATGTTGCTATGATTAGCCTTGCCAAACCCACAGTAACCCCATGTACAATGGGGTGAAATGTTGCCCAGCTATGTGCTATCCTCATGATTGGTTACAGATCACATCATTGTGATCCATGGGGTTTTCACTGGCTTATTTCCAGAAGTAGATTACCAGGCCTTTCTTCCTAGATGGTCTTAGGCTAGGAGGTCCACTGAAACCTGTTCAGCATCACACAAATGGCTCCTCATGCTTTCATAACCCAAAATGCCAAATCAAACCTACTGCCTCTGAGTTGATTTCAACTATAGTGAACCTACGTAGGGCTGTTGACACTGTAAATCTTTATGGGAGCATTTGGAATACTTTGATGAGCTGATACAGTGAGTCAATGTTGGTGTCCAGAACCTCCACTGTTCAAATCCAAACTAGTCTGCCTTAATCATATACAATGCATTCTCCAGATGACTCTAAGAGTTGAGAGGGAATGTGAATAGTCAACAGGAGTTATGTAAGTAGAATCTGAAGTGCAGATGCAGAATTTTGAAGTTGCAAACTTAATAGCAAAATGTTGTCATTCCTTCACCTGTTTAAGTAGCCTAACGTGGGAATGTGATTTCAATATACAGCTTCTGAATTATTTACTGATAAAAATATCTTAGCTTTCTTTTCGGTCTGATCTAAAATTACAAACGCCCATTTTAAGAGTAATTCCTGCCTAACATAGTTAGTGAATTGTATACCTGAGCATCGGAGGGAGTGGGCTAGCTCTGTGGCCATAACTTGTATGATTAGACCGATTCGAAGTCGAAACATTTCAGCAAAGAGGCCAGGCTGCGTTCTCATATACATGGCGAGATACACCATAATTTCCTGCATACGGAATGGAGATAGAGAAAAACTATGGTCCAGAGGTATGAATACATATTTTGTGATCTGAAGAAATGTTTAGATCAACTGAAGACAAACAATAAAAAATCAATTACCAGATCAGATTTGGCACCGACGCTTACCTGGGTAAGGATTGCAATGCTCATGTCCCCTTCACTGGCGTCATCTATGAGCTCCGTAAGTGCTTCATAGGGCAAAGGTCTGAGGAAGAAGACAGTGAAAGACAATACTCTATCACTATCTAAACCTAAAGGTACTGAAAAAAAATTCAAAGTTCTCCCCAAATCTGTTACTGCCTCACTACCTCATAAATACCAGTAGCATTCTGATTCTTCTAATATTCAAAGTTTAGCATCTTGGTCAAATTTCCTCCTCAAACTGTTCTGTCTCATATCAATTAAAGAATCTTTCTTCTCTACACCTGGAGTATATTCCTTCCTTAAAGTTTTATTTTAAATTTACCCCACGATATCCTTCCAGACTTGTCTTTCATAACTGGTCCTTAATATTTGGCAGATAACTATTATGGCTATAAAGTAACAGAGTAATTTCAAACTGTGCCTTTTGGAAGCCATTTTATCACATTTATATCACACAGAATTGCATAGGTAGTCAATGACTTATTCGAATTGTGATGAATCACACTTACAACCTTTTAATTTTTTTTCCTGGCACATCTTATCATTAACACTATGTACTATTTATCATTCTCAGATATTCAATCACAGATGTACAATTTTATGATTTATTATTCAAAATACTGTCGTATGAATTTAATTTCCTAAACTAAGCTTGTTGAAAAACATGGACCCAAAGACTTTGCCAATACTGACAGGCAGATTTGAGAAGCAGTGAAATGTTACCTCAAATAAAATAAGAAAAAAAGAAAAGGACCATACAGATAACCCTTACCAATTTTCTGACTACAAATGCAATTCACATTACCAAGGATAATCCAGATGGTCCAGAGTCATGACTAGAGCTGATATTCAGCTCCACCATTGAAGTACTATTTGAATGATTCATGCATTTTCTATGTGCATCTGTATACAGTCTTAAAATATATCTGTCATTTTATATGTAATGTTTCTAATCTCCAAAGACAAATGCAGATGAGATTTATAAAGATCCCGAAGGCAGTACTAATCGAAAGTGGGGTAGTGGGAAAAGGGGGAGAGGAAGGGAGAAAGGGGGAACTGATTACACCCCTCTACAGGGGGAAGAACAACAGAAAGCATGAGGGAAGGGAGACAGTGGTCGGTGTAAGAGATGAAAATAATAACAATGTACAATCTATCGGGGTTATGAGAGTGGCGGGGGGGGGGGGAAGGAAGGGGTGGGGGGAAAGAGCTGATACCAATAGAAAGTAAATGTCTAGAAAAGAACGAGGGCACATATCCTCTCCTGCTCCACTGTAATCATAAAACTGTAACCAAAGTTAGGGGCGTCATGAAAATAAATACACTTTTTGCTATCCTGTTTACTGTTGGCATCAAGTCAGTTCTCATTCATAGTGACTCTATAGGACATGGTGGAGGTGCCCCATCATATTTCTTAGTCTGTAATCTTTACAGTAGCAGATCACTAGCTCTTTCCCCCCACAGAGTGCCAGGTAACAGCAAAATGTTTCAGCCTTGCACTACCAGGATTCCTTGTTTTAAATTATTCCCTAGTATAAAAAGATAGCTTATGAATAAAGATAGATTTAATTTTTGGCACTGATAGCACATGATTATTAAGCAAATTGAGATTTCATGTAGATGAGTTTATTAACATTATGAGTAGCAGAGTAATAATAATAAAACTCACTTATAATTATTCACCTATTCCAGTCATAGCCTATCCTAGGGCACTGTTTCCAATTGGAAGCTCTGGCAGAACTAAGGTTGCGGCCATCTCAAAGGGGTGCTAAATCACTATGCTCTACGAATATCCATCCTTTTTTTTTCTTTTTGACTTCTACCCATTTTATTCTTGAGCAGTATGGATTTTCATCATCAGCTGGGCAATTTTTCCCACCTTCTCTTTGCAGAGCATAGGTGACTTTTTTTTGTGGTTTCAATGCTAATTGCTCTGTTTGTTTTAGTCTTTTGAATGGGAGATTTTGGAAATTCAGTAAGAACACAAAATTCTGAGTTCTACTTCTTCTGGATTTTCTCTTTCATTTACTCATGCCCTGTTATTAACATCCTCACTGAGTATCTCTAAAAGAAGCACAAACATGTAGGACATTATTATCTGCAGACAGATTGGGGCAAGAGAATTGTGGTCAGTTGATAGAGTTCTTCAAAGGAAGCTTGAGTAAAGCCAGTGAAAAACACATACTCAGAGATGGTCTTTTCTCGCGGTTCGGGGGGGAGTCCCACTGTCAAATGTTTCTGGTGGGAGAGAAGGTCTGTGCAGGCCTAAGGAGAGAAAGCATAGCATCATTGTCCTTCCCTTTATATATCAAATTTCCATGAAAATTTCTCCTGACCCTCGTTCTACAAATGTCTGCCTGAAGTCAACTTAATGACACCAAACATGCTTTCTAGTGAAATATCATGAAGATTAGAAAAGGATTTCTAGATAGAAAAAATGAGGTGTTTCTATTCCTAGAGATAGAAACAATTAGCCTGCCGCAAAGTCATTCTTAATCCATAGACCTCTTAGATATTATAATGTATATACTTCAACGATGTTTATGGTTCAGTAATGTATATTTGTCATTCACAAACAAAAAGTTAAATGAAAATCAGAAACTTTAGATGGGAAAGACAATATTTCAACATATTGGAATCTATGGTTGCCTTGAGGAAAAAAATAGTACAAACACTCTTCCACATTTAGATTTGGTTTAAACAGAATACGTAAAGAAGAATTTATAGTACCTCATCAAGGGCTTCCACCTTCTTCCTTAAGATCCCAGATATATATCGGATCAGGCCCCAGTGCCGAATGTCTCCAACTTTGCCGTATAGTTCAGTAAGAAGCTCTCTGACTGTAGCACTCCCTTCATCATACAATCCCGTATCCCAATCAGGTCCTCTGGAATTTTACATAAAGAATTACATTAAATCCAAAGGCTTCATCAATAATCTTTTATTTCAGAATTATAATGGCTATACCTTGTCATTGTTATTTTTGGTCTCCCTTGTTAGGAAGCAAATGTTATTTACTAAAAATCTTTGTAAAACTATAATGGCGCAGAAAGCCAAATCCATAGACAAAGATAAGTTTCAGCTTCATTTGTGCTTGAAAAAAATGCATTTCTTTATTTTCTTTACAGGTACCAACATAACTAAAATTAAAGATAAGATGTAATTCAATCACTGAGAGTTTGAAAATCATGCTACACTTCAGGGAAATAACAGGGATGTGAATTTATTTTTAAAGGATACATAAACATTATTGTTGCAAGAATTACTATAATAGAAGTCAACTGTGAAGCAGAACATTTTAGAGACAGTGCCAAAAGATGAGCCCATCAGGTTAGAAGGCACTCATAATTTGACTAAGGAAGAGCTGCCTTCTCCAAGTAGAGTCGACCAGAATAACGTGAATGGAGTGAGCCATCAGGACCTCCGATTCTGATGCCACACTCTTATTGATATAATCCAGCTTCTCTGATGATTGCCTCAACATGCAATCAATATGCATTGATAATTATTAGCCACTGGAATTCAAAAGTTAGAAACAAAGAAAAAGGATCAGTAATTGTAAAATATGGCCTAAGTTATAGAAATGAAGCTGTAAATTACAAGCTATAATTTTGCAAGACCAACACCGTCTTCATCACAAATACCTTTTTATCAATAAACAAATGGTGACTATACACATGGACTTTTCAAGATGGAACATACAGAATTAAAATTTACTCCATCTATGAGAAGTGATGATGGAGAAGCTTAATATCAGCAGCTAAAATTATGCCAGGGGAACAGACCATCAATTGCTCATAAATAAGCTCAGATTGAAGCTGAAGAAAATGAAAACATGTCCACGAGAGCCAAAGTACAACCTCGAGTACATCCCATCTAAATATTGAGGACATCTCATGATTAGATTTGATGCATTGAATGCTATTGACGGAAAATTCAATCCGTCATAGGATGACATCAAGAACATTGTACATAAAATAGTGAAAGGTCATTAAAAAAACAGGAAGATCTCTTCAACAACTATCAGAAAATCCCACCCAAAGGGAAGTCCTGTGCTCCTCAGAAGCCACAGAAACTACTTAAAAGCTATGTACACCAACAGTTCTTATAGATGGAGACCAGGAATGCCTACAGAATGTTCCCGACTCCTTTTCACCACTGACTGACTGGTGGCTAAAGCTACTTCTGTGCCCGCATCATCACCAGCACAAACTGATCCTTCTCTGCCCCTGCTCCAACCTGCCTAGCCAAACCTCTTACTTTTCCAGCCTCCAGGGGCCCTATATGAATATCAAACTGTATGGACAGTTTGGTGCAGATAGTCTCGTTTTCTCCCTTTTTCTTCTTTGTTTCATCCTTCGTTGCCCTTTCCCTATATATAGAACATGTGCACAGACCGACACCACCAATGGATCAGGAATCCCCATCCAAACTGTGGTTTCATTTCTAATTTTTGTATTTTTGTTTTACTGTACTTTTGTTTTACTGTACTTTTTAACCTTCTCCTTTCTCCTCTTATGTCCCCTTCTTGTGCAACTCCACTATCCTGCAGGTACGCATGCCACCAAGATGGCCACCGGCATGGCCACCAACAGCCCCACAGATCCAGGCACACCTACTCAAACAGCTTTCTTGGTATGTTTTGGGTTTATTTTAAAATCAAGTTCCCCTCACCCCCTTAGGGTACAGACTCACACATTCTCTGTGGCTGGGTCTCAGAGCCTAGCAACAAAGCATCCAAGCCTAAGTCATTATCTTGTAATTTTGCTTTTTAAAATTATCTTCTCTGCTTCTTTACACCCTTTCCTTCTTTTCCTTTCTATTTTTCCTTTCCTTTCATTTCTTCCTTTCCCTTATTTCTCTCTTTTCTTTCTTTATTGCCTTTACGTCTTTAATTCTAATTCTCCCAAACACAGCACACACACACACACACAAAATATCTTTTTGTGGTCTAATTATATGCTTACACTTTTCTCCTGCCCCACCCCCTATCCCTTTCTGCCCTCTCTCTCCTTTTCCTCTTGAACTATCTTACATGATTACTATTAATTCTTACTACCCTTTAAAATACATTTTCCATTATAGCAAACTACTTGGCCTATCCAGATGACTGTTATTATCATTATTTACTTCTCTTCTTCCTCCCCATGTCACCAACCTTACCTTACCCTTTTCTTTGTTTCCCAACCATATGTTTTGTGGTTCCTATTAGACCTCTCATGCATCACCTGGTAGAGCCAACTACTTTGACATGACCCAGCAGCCACACACCACTAATAGTTACACCATAATGCAGCAGCCAACAGTAACATACCTAAAAAAATCAAGAAGCAAACTCAAACAACTGAAAATAACCAAAACCCAATGGAGTACACAGTAATGGGAGCACTGGATGATCAGAAAGAGAATTTAAAATAATGGTGTTTAGTCTGTGGCAGTTACATAATCTCATGTCAACTTGAGGGTATTAAGAGTGAAGGAGTGGAGTCTAGCCTATCAATCATGTCACAGCTTGATGATTTCATCTAGAGGCATGGCTGAGATAAATGGCTCTTTGCAGGCAGGATGCACACTCTCTTTCTGCTTGAGATTCCTGTTGACAAGCCACATGTCACCACACGGATGGCAGCCAGAGCCTTGGAGATGCATCCACTGCCATTGAACCCACAGGACTTTCCACCCATTGACCTGTGATCTTCCTGCATTCGGCATTATTGCACATGTTGTGTGAGTCTGAAGAGGAATTCATGGGCTAATATCATACTTATGGGATAATATAGAAGCTATGGACTTTATCTGGACTGGGCAATTACTGCATAATTACTTTTCAATATAAAGTTCTCTCTTACATATATATGAGTGTCTCTGGATTTGTTTCTCTAGTCAACCTGGACTACCACAAGGTCCCTTCAAATGATTCACGGAATGCTCATGAGAACAATGTAAGGAATTGACAAATGAGAAACCGTACTCCAAAGGGAATGCTTGAAGATAAAAACTAAGATAACAGAATTCGACAACATGGTATCCCTGAGTAATAGAGTAGAAGAAAAGGAAAACTAAATCAGTGAGCTCAAATTCAATCACTCTGAGTACAACTGATGAGAGAAACAATATGCATAAAGGGAAAGAAATCTGAAAAAAGCCTGCGATTAATGTGGGACACTATCAGGAGAACAACCTGCATCTCATTGGAATTCTGGAGCACAAAGGGGGAAAAAGCACTAAAGAGAAAATAGTACAATAAATCATGAAAGAAAGTTTCCCCAAGAACACAAAAAAGGAGAAAATAACTATGCCAGATGCTGAGGAAACTCCAAACATAGATCCCCCAAGTAAAAACAACCCAATATATCATAGTCAAATGCTCCACTTTCAAGGAAAATGAGAGAATCCTGAAAGCACCTAGGGGAAAAAGAAGCTGTTTACAAAGGAAAGCCAACAAGGATAAGCTTGTTCTTCTCAGATGACGCCATGCAGGCAAGAAAACAATGCAGTGACATCTATCAAATGCTAAAAGAATGAAACTTTCAACCAAGAATCCTATATCCACTAGAATTATCTCTCAAATACAAGAGTGAAAAAAGGAATTCACCAACTAGAAAATATTAAGGACCTGGAATTAAAAAGCCAGCAGGGAAGAACTTGATCAACGGAAATAACTCAAGCAAAAATTCAAGCCTCAAGTTGAAATCTTGATGGATTCTATAGGAAAAATATTGGATGACACAGGAAGCATCAAGAGAAATACAGTGTTCCAATAACTGTAAGAGCTCCCAATAAAAAGATTAATAAATAAAAAATTAATAATAAAAAAGAGAAGATGGAAAGAAGACACATAGTCACTGTACCTAAAAGAACTGGTCAACTTTCCGCCATTTCAGCAAGTAGCATATGAGCAGGAACCAACGGCACTGCAGGAAGAAGTTCAAGCTGCACTGAAAGCATTAGTCATAAACAAGGCTCCAGAAATTAATAGCATACCAATTGAAATGTTTCACCAAGCTGATGAAGCACTAGAAGCACTCACTTGTTCTATGCCAGAAAATTTAGAAAACAACTACTTGGCCACATGACTGGAAGGGATCCATATTTATGCCCATTCCAAATAACAGTGACCCAACAGAAGGATCAACTATAACACAATATAAATGATATCACACACAAGTAAAATTTTGCCGAAGATCATCCAACAAGGGTTGCAGCAGTCCATTGAGAGAAAACTGCCAGGAGTTCAGACCAGATTCAGAAGAGCATGTGGAACAAATGGATCATGGCTGAAAGCAAAGAATAGCAGAAAGATGTTTACTTGTGTTTTATTGACTATGCAAAGGTATTCAACTCTGTGGACCATAATAAACTGTGGATAACCTTGAGAAGAATGGGAATTCCAGAACACTTCATTGTGCTCATGACTAACTTGTTCCTGGATTAAGAGGCAGTTGTGTAAACAGAACAGAACAGGGCATACTGCATGGTTTAAGATCAGGAAAGGTGGCATTAATATTGTATTCTCTCACCATAATTGTTCAAGGAAGACCCTGCGAATCCCTGTCTCCTGGCAAGGTAGGTTCTGGCGATCCCTGCACCTTGGCAAGGAAGGCCCCAAGCATTTCCATGACCTGGCCATGAAGGCCCAGTCTGTCCCCCATCTAGAAAAGCCCCAGCTGCCCTGGGACTCAGAAAATTAGGGCTCAGCTGCCTCAGAATCCTGACAATTAAGTCCTTGGTCATCACTTCACTGAGATAAAAAAGCTCTAGCCATTCCAGCTGTAGTAAAGAAGGCCCAGATCATCAAAGCCACTGGCAAGGACAGCCCTGAAGCAATGGATGACACAATGGATGCATGTATGGATTGTGATAAGAGCTGTAGGAACCCCCAGTAAAATGATTTTTAAAAATTAAAAGTAAAAAATTGGAACTGGCTGTTAATAAATATGACATTCAAATGACTAACAAACATATGGGAAATATTCAATGATTACTAGTCATCTGGGAGATGCAAATCAAAACAAGGATCAGATATCACCTTACACCAACTATGATCGCCCAATTAAAAGTCAAAATTAAACAGAAAACAACAAATTCTGGAGAGGATTCAGAGAATGGAACTTCCATATACTGTTGATGGGTTTGTAAATATGTACAACCATTGTGGAAATCAGAATAGCACTACCTAAAAGCCCTGGTGACGTTGTGGTTTCAAATTGGGTTGTGATTCTCAAGATCTGCAGTTCAAAACCACGAGCAGCTCTGGGGGAGAAAGACTAGGCTGTTAACAGTTACAGCCTCAGAAATTCACAGGGACAGTTCTACCCTGTCCTATAGTGTTGCTTTGAGTTGGCATTGATTTGATGGCAGTGAATTTTTTATTTTTTTAAAAAACATGTGGAAATGGAATGCCATACAATCCAGCAATACTTTGTTGGTATATGCCATAAAGTAATAAGAAACATAACGTGAACAAGACGTATGCTCTCTATCATGTTTATGGCAGCACTGTTCACAATAGCAAGAAGTTAGAAAGAGCCCCAAAGCTCATCAGTAGAAGAATGGATAAAGACACTTTGGTACTTACACACAATGAAATACTATGTTTGGTTAAAAAACACTGATGAAACTATGAAGCACCTCTCAAGTTGGTTGGGCTTGGAGAACATTATGGTGAGTGAAGTTTGTCAATCATGAAGGGTCAAATATTGTGCATGATCTTTATTATAAGGACAAATACCGAGACAAAAACAGGTATCTGTTCTCAGGTCATGTAATCATTTAATCTAGCCATGGAAACAATGTAGTGGTATGTCTGTCTAATTTTTATGATCCATTTATCATGCCCTACTTGTACAACTTAAAACCACTTCTCCAGAGGAGGCCTCACCTTAACTGAAGTCTATTTTTTATTTAGGGGGAGAGGGGTGGGACCCAATAACTGCCATATAGCATTGCCCCATGGTTACCCCAAATTAATAGCTACTCCTATAATGCTGATTGGTGAATTTCAATGGGAATTCATGACCAGAGAAGGGGGGGTATATGTCTGTCTCTGAGAAGGTGATTTCACTTCTGATGATGGGTAATTCAAGGAGGGGCAGCCTGCCCTTGGGGAAAATGCTTAACATTACTTATATAGACTCTCATTGGGAGAATCCACCAGGATTATGTTATCAATCATATATTTTGGCTGAGTTTTTTTCAGCCCTTGGTGACTGAGGCTATATGCTAGAGGCTCCCTGGATTTTATATTTTATGTTTTCTAGGTGTACAGCATTGTTCTTACAGCACATCAGTATTATTGTATTTGGAAACCCTACAAAGAGTACTAGACTTTACCTTAAACCACCTATTGCCTATTAAAGGAACTGAAATACTCCTTTGGATTTATAGCTGAAACACTTTCGTGGGGAGGCAGCAGAGAATTATCAAGGTCATGGATATGGAAGTCAGTATACTTTGGTTCAAATCTCTTGCTTTTGAGGTTGCCCAATAATTGGTAATTTAAGATTACCATATACTTGCTATTTTTATACATTCTTTTCTTTTTGTGACACATCTTAATGCTTCAGACATAGTTTTGCCTTAGTGAATGAGTGTTATTGAAAAATTTCCCCTTGTATCTAACTCTCATTTTTTTCTTGAACAGCATTCAATTATTTAAGCTTTTAACCTGGGTAAGTGAACATCCCAGGTAATTTAGTCTTTCCTTTATGTGTATATTGTCCTTTTCTCAATAGTACTTTAAATCCTATACCATTAGCTGGATTAATGTTACTGTTATTAGAATTACCAAATGCCTCATAGAATTTACTTAAATAATTTCTCAACAAGTTAATAACGTGGCTTCTAAATAGGACCACGGATATATATAAACTTAGATATACAAATGGACTTTGAGCTTGCATTTAGTTGTAAGCCTTAATCTTAGAAATTAGTCCATCCAAAGTGGCCCTACTAATACTTGCCCTCATGAATTTATTACTGCAGTTATGGGTACTATAGCAAAGTGTGAAGAAATCAGATGGTACCTGGCTATCTGAAAGAATAGCATGTGGAGTTTCTTAGAGATATGGCAGCGAAGTGTTGGGGGCATAAGGGGAACTAATGATAAAGGGTACAAGAAGGGAGACGTCGGATAGTGTAAGACATGACACAATAATAATAATTTATAAATTATCAAGGGTCCATGGTGGGGAGGGAGGGGAAAATGAGGAGCTGATATTAAGGGCTCAAGTAGAAAGCAAATGTTTTGAGAATGATGATGACAACAAATGTACAAATGTGCTTGACACAATGGATGTAT